TAACTAGCTTACATTGGAAAGGTTTTTGTTAACAATAACAAGTTTGGAAGTTTGATGTGGTTCATTTACTCAAACACATTTCCCCCAGGACATAAATAAAGTATTCCTGACACCTCTGAGCAGCGGCTTCAGGTAAAGTGTCCGAGTTCTGTTAGAAACATGAGGAGGAGTGTTTCCTGTTGTATTCACTCACAACCTGAAATCCAGGACAGCGAGTTCGAGCCTCACCTAACTGCTCAGCCAGATGTTTTCCTTTCTCCAGAGGCACAACTCTCTCCTCGTCCATGTCGCACTTGTTGCCCACCATGATCACCTGGGCGTTATCCCATGAGTACGTCTTAATCTGAGTGGCCCTGGACACACACACACACACACACACACACTAATCATCATTTAACTGACTTGAGTTTCTCGTCTTTATTTGAATGTGATTGAGTAAGAATCACATACCAGTCCTGGACGGCGTTGAACGACTCTTCGTTGGTGATGTCATACATGAGGATGAAGCCCATGGCGCCGCGGTAGTAGGCCGTGGTGATGGTGCGGTATCTCTCCTGGCCTGCCGTGTCCTGGAGACAGCAACTTTACATTAGAAATACTGCACATGTAATAACAAGAAGGAACTTCAAACTGATTGGTCCAGAGGGGGTGTTAACATGTCGAACACGTGTTTCATGACACCGACAACCTTAACAATTCATGCTTGTGACACGGAGGCCCCTCCGTGGATTTCAGACGCACCACAGACAGAACAATCTGTAGATACTTGGTAACTCAAATTCAAACAACGTGTACTTCTACAGTGCTGTTGAATTGTGTGTCCATCACTTCAGATGAACTGGAGGTGGCTACATCACAGCTGAAACAGGAAGCTAACAACAACCTGGACATATCACCACAATCATCAGGACTCGTCCTCTGGGGACCAAGAACATCTACAGTATCTGTCAGGTGATTTTTCTATGGACAGACTGTTTAAACTGCGGGACACTGTAATCTGTTGACTGTGAGTGGGGATTAGCCTTTAGGCCTAAATGCTAAGCTAAGCTAATACTGCACCTGTTCACACTGTTTGATTTAGCGAACGCTCCGAGTTCTGTAGGAAAACTACACGAGCTCCGATTAAAAGAAGCAGACTGAAGACTTTCCTTTGTGACAGAGCTGATAGTCAGGACCGGCTCATCGTTAGTTATGCTGCTATAGGATCAGACTGCCGGGGGACAGTCGGACTAGTTTCTTCACGACACGAGTCGTTTCTCACACAAACAGTGACTCTTGTCTTTTAACAGCCAGCTGCGTTGAATGTAGGTAAATTAAAAAGCATTTTGGTCAAACTGGAAACAGAAGCTTCTTGTCCCTCGTCTACAGATTCTGTATATTCACATGTACAACCTGTCTCTAGTTACAACTGGCAGGTTTCCTTTAAAACCAGTTAGTTGTAGAGAAGCGTTATTTCTAAAAGGAGACAGGTTCGACTCCCGTCAGACTTTGACTGGAGGAGCTATTAGTGTTAGCGTAGCAAAGATGGAGGCTGTGTAATTCAGCTCTTTCATATATTTGTGTCATTGTTGATGCGTGTGTGTGTATTTATACTCATCACTATGCTTTCAGCTTGAATCAATCGGCTCTGATCAACACACACACACACACACACACACACACACACACACACACACACACACACACACACACACACAGTACTGTCTTCAATGGCAATTAAAGAGACCTCTTGGGGTGAAGAGGTTGAGACCAGGTGGGGGACAGAGAAGCCTGGAGGGGGGAGGTGTGTGTGTGTGTTTGTGTGTGTGTGTGTGTCAGCTAGAGACTGAGTGAGCGTGAAGAGCTGCTGCCATGGCAACAGCATCACCACTGATGAAACAAGCTGTAGAAGTCTTCTCTTCCCCTCAGCAGCTCGTTGTTGATTGAGAGCAGAACATCACGTTACACTGCTTCACTCTCATGTCTCATACTGCGTTACACTATGTAACACAATTTAACATATAATAATAACACAACATAATGTCCATCCTCACCCAGATCTGCAGCTTGATCCTCTTGTCGTTGCGATACACCGTCTTCACCTTGAAGTCGATGCCCACGGTGCTGACGAAGGAGTTGCTGAAGGAATCGTCGGCGTAGCGGAACAGGAAGGACGTTTTCCCGACGCTGCTGTTGCCAATGATCAGCAGCTTGAACATGTAGTCAAAGTTCTGGTCGGAGCCGTCCCGCTGGCCGAAACGCTGGTCTGCCTTCGCCATCTGAGGGTTTGGTTATATGAGAGAAGAAGTGAGTCGTGTGATAATCCATCTAAACCTCAGATTCACGACACGTCTCCGTTTCCTCTCACTGTCAACAAAACATCTCGGCCATCTTGTGCCGATGACGTCATTTGGATCCAGAGTCAGTCTCAGCTGTCAATCATGACATTAAAACCAAGATGATCAGAAACACCTGAACAAACATCAGCGAGATAAGAACGACCTGAAATGACAGAAACCATCTTTGACAAACATTTATTTTACGTCTACTTAATTTTTTCATTTGGTCTGTGTCCCATCTGCTAACATGGAGAAGGTGCAGCAAGCCACCAGGGGGGGATCCAGATACTTTGGCCTCATTTTTGGGAGCCATCATGTCGTCCATCTTTATTTGTCTGGGGTTGAGGCGGATACGTTCAAATATTTCAAAAGCTCCGCCTCACTCTCAGTTGTGGGAAATCTACAGGTTTTCCATATTGGACAAATTCAAATGTTGACCTGATGGTGGCGCTAGATGTAAAGTCCAAGGATCATCAGAACATGAACATCTGAACCCTCGCTCATCTCCGTCCATATTTCAAACACTGCTGATGAACGCTGCAGGTTTACATTTGAAGAATCGGTCACCAGTTACTTCAGTTGTATTGGATTCTGCTGCAACGGTGTTTACCCCTGAAACTCCAGGAAACTCAAACAC